TGCAGCGCAGTCGCCGCGCAGTTGCTGCAGCGAAGATCCCTGCACATTACGAATGATTGCTTCGGCTGCATTTAAATGCATTTTGTCTGAGCTGTAAACACATTCCACAATGTTTGGCCTATCAAAAGATGTTTCGATTTGATTCATCTGTTAATCACTTCCGCCCAACTCCTTTGCATTTCTTCCAGGCAATTATTCGCCATATTCTAAATGAATACACGTATTCGATATCGAAAGTCGAACAACCAGCAACGGTATTTCATCTGCTCGCTTGTGGCTTGCTTTTCACTTCTGCCACCTGAAAGAAAGCGGCGAAAATTGCAACAAAAGGTTCACAAAACGAGCAACTCGACAAAATGAAGCTAGTGTAAAGTGATACCGAAACGTATCCAATGTTGGCCCATGACTCAGGCACCGCACGCTGCCATCCGACTCCCCATTGCAGGGGGGGACGGGGGGATCGTCGAGTTGCACTTAAAGTGAGCTGTTATTGGCGTGAAATTGTTAAAAAAAAGATCGAGGAGTGTAACTAAACTCGATCGCTATTATAGACAGATACGTTTGGGATCTCGATCTGAGAATGAATAATTTAAGGAATATTTTTGTTTATGAGAAGTACTTTGGTACTTATATACCTATGTGCTTCGGTATGCTTCTAGAAATCTGAAGAGAAAACAGCTGCAATTTCTTTTGGAAATTCAGATTCACTTTGGTATGTATAGTATAGCATATAGGGCATGTCTAGAAATCTTATTGGAAATGTATTTACTAAGTGAATTTCGATTTCGACAAGGTCAATTCCAATTGTTCGACTGTTTAATCATGATATAGAGCTTATATAGAAATATATTAGACCTCTGGAATGTATTCTATGAATATATATATATAGATTTGAAAGTTTCAAAAGTTATATCACTTCAACAACAACTTCGAATTCAATTAAATACATTTTGTTATGGAACAAAAAATGAATCAGCTATGACGAAGAAAAGTTTTAGTTCTGTAAATTTTCATTTAAAACGATTTTAAAAGCAGATGTGAGAAAGTGCGCTACTTTTTGTACATGTGTACACACATGTGTGTATGTATATACATACATATGTATACTATATTCGAACTTGGAAGAAAGTCTTGGAATGGAGCTCAATACGAGGCGCAAATTGCGATTTTTTATATATACATACATATATGAGTGTGCCTATATACGTGTGCATATGTGGTAGTGTGTGTGTGTGTGATAGTGCGTTCATACTTCTAGACATCCCTATATCACGCATGTATACTTAAAAGTATTGTCACTGCTATCAAGCTAACAAATAGCAACAGCAGCAACAACAACGGTGGCGATAAGCGACTTGAGGCTGATTAGGATCAAGTAACTGTATATGTATATGACTGTATATGTATGTATGCATATACATGCGTATAGACACATATCTACACACATATATAATACAGTTCATAGTACGATATAAATCACAGTATCGCCATTTAAGCAAACCAGGTAAGAGTACTGTACGTATGTACAGGTGCTTCTAAAGACATGTAACACGTAACGCGTAACGCGTAACGAGTAACGAGTAACGAGTAACCAGTAAACAGTAACGAGTAACGAGTAAAGCGTAACGCGTAACGCGTAACGAGTAGCTGCACATGCCTTTAATAAACGTCAAGTTCAATGGCATTGATTAAAATGCAAATCGAAATGCAACAAAAGAAAACAAAGAGAGAATCAGAGAAGCAAAAACAATGCAAACGGCTATGCCCAGCTGCAATATGATCAACCGATGGAAGACTCGACCACTTCAAAGTGCAATCAATGTCAAATAGAATTCGCATTACATTCAGCTCATCTATGAGAAAACTAAGCGTGCTAATATGTCCGCTTTTGGCATGCCCGCGCACAGAGTATTGTAACAGTCGCTACATTATGAATGCCAAGCGCCTTGTAATGTCCAAGGGTTGGGCTTGGGTTTAGATTGGATCCGATGCGTTTGGGTTGGGCTGCGCTGCGCTGCGCTGCCCTGCGTTGGGCTGGACTGGCCTGTTGGCAAGACAGCGGCTTACAGCTGCCCTTGCCCTTGCCGTTGCTGTTGCCCTTGCCCTTGCCCTTGTCCCCCCGCCCATGGCTACGCGGTCATCCCCCGTTTACTAGATTAGCTGTCAAGCGGGAAGTGCAAAGCCAGCGAGGCAGATAGAAAGAGAGAGAGAGGGGAAGAGAGAGAAGGGGAGAGAGCGAGCGAGCGAGTTACAGGGAATTTGGAAGTTTATGTTTTTTTTGTCGTTTTTGGTTCGAAATTATTTCTACTGTACGAATATTGAACGGGCTTTTGAGTGCATGCGAGTTTGTGTGTGTGTGTGTGTGCATGAGCATTTGCTGCCTCACACATAATTGGGTGCTTTGCCAGTGCGTGCGTGTTCTGTGTATGTATGTGTGTGTTTTCGCTCTCTCTTTATCCCTCTCCAGCCAGCTCACACACACACACACACACACACACACACACATACACACAGAGAGAGCCGAACGCATGCGGCGCGCCGCATATCGCTACACATGTAAAATGGGGGTTACATGACATTGAAACCATTTTTGAAGGTTTGAGCGGCTTTTTTCGGTGCTTCTTCCTCTTCTTCTATATAACTGTGTAACAGACACGCATACACACAGACATAAAATTAAGCATGGGTTGCCAGGCGAACCCCTTTTCAATGCTGAATGTTGTTACAGGAGCAGCAGCAAGACACACACAAAGACAAAGCGACAGCATCCCAAAAATATGCACAAACTTATATATAAATGTATTGTAAATATGTATACATATATGTATATAGTATATAAATATAGTCCATTAGGAAATGAAGTATATATATTCCCCTTCAAGCTTGGTTTCTTCTATAAATTTCATATTTATTTGACAATTTGGAGGTAAGCTCAGGCAATATTTTAATGCAACTTTAGCAGAATTAGCCAAAAATGATTAAACCAGAATCATATAGTAATATAATCTATATTAACATAAACTGCATATTTTGAGACCTATGAGTCCAATTCCTCTGAAGTAATGCAAGGACCTCATCGATTCCAAGCCCAGGCCAAGCTATGAAGGAATTTACAATACAGTATTTGACTACATAGCAATCTATATAAGTATACGAATTTATACCAATCAAAACTAGTCCTTCTCCCCTTCTTCAGCAGCCACGTCTAATTTTGTTCAATTTTATTCATTAAGTTTATTTAAAACAAAAAATACATATCAAATATTTAAAAAATCCTAAGCTTATATAACTTTATTATTTGCTGTACATATGAATCTACAGTGAATGCTCTGCCATATCTTATGCTTATATGTTTTATTTATTTCAATTTACTCTGAAGCTCAACAATGTGCAAATGATGGAAATAATTTTAAATATAAAAACAAAAAATATTTATATTTTTATAATAGAAATAAAATAGAGTATATATAACATAAAATATTATATATGCATATAATATACATATACATATCATAAAATTATGGAAGCGATCAAGAAAAAATATATATTCAACAAAATATAATATATACATGTATGTGTATGTATATATCGTATGTATGTATGCACATACAAATACATATAATAATGTATAATTCTTCCCATGTCTAAAAATCCCTTCAATTTCGCTGCTATCAGGCTTACGACTAGCCATAGATTTGCCTTTCCTTGGTTTCCCTAGTTCCCACCGATCTTACAATAATTAATAGGTATGATTATTTTCCATATGTACACATATGTACGTATATGTGTGTGTGTTTGTTGTGTGCCCTTGTCACTATATTTTCAGCAATTACACTGAACTGTTACCAAGTCCAATTCAATTAACTTCAACTCAACTTGAATATATACAACAACAAAATTGTAAAGAAAAAAAAAAAGCCTAGCAAAATACGCTGTTTAATGCTCATGCTACATCTATCTCTATCACACACACACATACTGTCTTCCGCACGCTCTCTCCCTTTCCCTCTCCTTCTCGCACTGTTTTTGTTGGACAGCGCAAAACGTTTCACAACACTTTGTTATCGATGCGTTCGCTAACCCACCCGCTACTCTCTCTGACAAACACACACACACACGCACACACTAAGCAATCAGGAAAAAGAATTGTGAGTTGCCCAAGTTGAACGACTGGTGAATGCTCTGTCTTGAAGGCAATCAATCAAAAAGCTTTTAAATATACATATAAACAAATGCATATATGTATATATTTTACAAAATTTTTGTCTTTGGCTAAGGCTACAAAGCTGCAAGTGCACATTCAACTGAATGCGCTAAATATCAGCAAAGGGTTAGATCGCTATCTCAATCTGTGTCAAATTGCATCACATTGCACCGCACTCACATATACACACGCACGCACGTGCATAATTGCAATTACATCTGAAGCGAAAGAGCATACAAAAAACAGCAACACAACGCAGCAAATCGCAACAACAATAACAATCACAGCAGCTCCGAGAGTCAACAGTCGATTGTTTATCAATGTGTAAATAAAAGCGTCTTTGCTTATGCCTGTGTGCATGTGTGTGTGTGTATGTTTGTTTCGTTGCCCAAAAATTTCAATAGCAAAGGTCAATGAACTCGTGCCGTGCCAGTGTGCCTGGCGTTTGCTCTTTCACTCACACACACACATACTATCGTGTTTGTGTGTGTGCATATTGCGTTCCGCATTGCGCTCTGCTACGCTCTCTCTCTCTCTCTTTCTTGCTGTGCTCGCTCTTGTGGCATTTTGCGGCTCTCTTAACTGCTGGTTCATTGCTTCCTCGTTGCGTTTCATTCATAAACAGAGAGCGCGTCAGATATCGGCCAGGCCAACGAACTAAGGGCCGTGCGCGCTTAACATGTGCTTTAACTGACCCTATCTTTGACACTCTGTCCCTCCCCACAGACGCATTGAACCACCTTTGGAGCTGTCTTAGGCTAAATGGGCATTGCATTTATCAAACATTTTTACTCACATCAACTGTCGACGTCCTTGCAGCGGCGGCATTTTTGTAGCCAAATGGCGTTCATTTAATGTGCTCCAATTGTTAGCGTTGGCTGAAGCGCGGCGGCTGTAGCTGCGGCTGCTGCTAGTGCTATGTTGAAGGCGTAATCCATGCTCTGCCTGCGGAGCTTTAACAGTTAAGCCTGGCTTTTAACTTAACAGTAGCTGTTGCTGTGGTTGTTGTTGCTCTCGATGATCTCTTTTAATTTTAACTTTAACTTTTGCGACTCTTTTTTATTTTTTATTTTGATTCAAGAAGTAGCCGTTGTTTTGTTGTTGTTGTTGTTGATCCTTATTAAATAGTTGCACGTATGTATATATTGACGAATATCAGCGCATTATTAATGAACTTTTTCTCTTGTTTCTTATTTTATTTTTATTTTTATTTTATTTTTTTTTTTTTTTGTTGCACTTTAGTGTGGAACGGGCGGGCGGGGTTGTGAACACATAACGGGGTATCTCGCTGTTAACTCCGATTTAAACAGACATATATGTATGTATATATGTGTATATATAGTAATATATATATATATCTATATATATATACATACATATAGTATAAATATAGCTATATATGTATATGCATATGCTTGAATTCTTAACTTTATCCTAGGCTAATATTTAGGCGCTTATTGCTTGCTCGCTTGCACTTGCACACATTTCTTTGTAATGGTTTTGTCACATTTTCAATTTGTCACGACACAAAAAAATTTGTATATATACATTTATATATTTGTTATATATGTTACATATATGTGATTATCTGCAAACAGAAACAAAAACACATAAAAAAAAAAACAATGAATTACTTTACATTGCAATTAATTTGTTGTTGCCGTTGTAAAGGAACGTGAGTGGGAGAGGTGAAGAAAGGGTGAGGGAGAGGGAGCTGAGGCCAAAGGAAGTTGGTCAGCAAACAACAAATGGAGTTGCAATGCCGTTACCGGCAGCGTCCTTATTGGCGCCTATTCCGCTGCACTTGTCAAAAGGCAATAACTAAACACACACACACACATAGACTGCGATAGAGCGATAGTGTGAGAGAGAGGCACACAGATACTCTTGCATTTAATGCTGCCACTTTGTTAATCGCATTCAAATTTATATATTTGCAACAAAATACGTTACTCGCATGAGCAAAACAAACAATAAAAAAAAGTTACAACAAAAAACCAACTTTGAAATATCGTCGTTATCCGGGCGCGAACGACAACAGCTCGCGGCGAGTGAAATTTTAAGAATGAGAGAGAAATTTGTTCGTTTTCTTGTTTCGTTTCATGCGCTTCGTTTCATTCATCCAGTCGGACCGGACCGAGCCGACTGTTAGCTGTACCGGCTGGCCGACGGCAGGCAGAGCACGCTTAAAAGTATGCAACATGGAACTGGATAACAGCAGAGGCCTGTATTACATTCCCTTGAAAACACGGCGCTTATATAGACGAGTCGTCAGTTCAGCTTTAATTTGTCATAGCCAGCACTTAGTTGGTCACTCTTATAATAATACAATGTCAAATCTGGTCATTTGTTAATAAACATATTTAATAAATTAAATTATATATTTAAAATGCGCGCACTGCCTTCAAGTTCTGTTTACATACTGTTAATACGCTGAATAGCATATTAAGCGCTCACGTGGAGCTAAAAGCGAATTTAGTTAAGCTTTGCTTGTGGTTTGTGTCTTCGCTCAACGGGGTGCAGAATCTTATACATAGCACCGACCAGAGCTTGGTAAACGGTTTGAAGAGTTCGGAATACTCTAAGAATCAGCTATTTTGTAGCTAGATCTGGCTACTTTTTAAGGCCGATTCCTACACAAATTTTCAAACAGCTATTAGCTACAAATCTGGCTATTTTCAAATATTACATTTAGCTAAAATGCAAGCGAACTTATAGCAAAATTGGCTTCGATACTTTTTAAATATAAATGATTTAAATGTACTGAGTTTTGTGTAGAATTAATACTACAACTGAAGAATAGGTAAGCTCTATAAAATGTTATGCAAACTTCATTTCTTATCAGTTTTTATGCCCTGAACCCATTGAAAATGGGAAATCAGGGTATAATGGTTTTGTGAAAAAGTATGTAACGGGCAGAAGGAATCATAGCGGACCCCATAAAGTATATATATTCTTGATCAGCACGACGAGCTGAGTCGATATAGCCCTGTCCGTCTTCCAACTACCTTAAAAAGGCAAATTATAAAAGCGACAATGGTGAAAATGACGAGTTGGTGGTCATTGATGAGATATTATCAGAATTAAATTAATAAAGATGACTTTTTATGAAAAAAAAAAAAACAGCACTATTTTCTTTTTTGCTACTTTTTCAGCTATTAGAAGAAAGTTACCTACTTTTAGCTACTTTCAGCCTTCGGTTTTGCTACTTTTGCTGAAAAAGTTTCGGGAACACTGAAGAGTCTTCACACGTAAAGGAAGAAACGGCAGTCTAGCGCGAAGAAATTTCAATTTTCGTGAGCTGCTGCTTGTGCTCACATGCATACATACATATACATATTTGAGAGAGCAGAGAGAGCAAGAGCAACATTATTCAACATTTGACCATATCGGTCGAGCGCATGAAGCGGAATGATTGTGCTTTCGTACATTTTCGTAGCCCGAACCTAAAAGTGAAGAGCCGAGCAAATACAAAATTGACAATCAATGACTTCATTCCATAGCATTTGAACATGGAAGTGATAACATTTCTATTGCAAAAAATGCAATTTCATGATACGAGTTGTTTTTACAAGCATCTTTAAATGCCAATACTTCATACGAAAATTTAATAGTATCATTTGTATTTTAGTATTGATTTATAGTATTTACCATGGTATATAATGGTAAATATCATGTTAAACCAAAATGCCTACAACAAAGATTAGGTTTGTTCGATTTGCTTCTATAGATAACCAAATAATGTAAAATGGCAGAAATACAAAAGCAAAATATTTAAAGGCTAGATTTATGGCTATAAGCATTACGACAATTTTCCAGGCTATTTCATTTCCAAATAGGCTAGATCTAGCCATAAATAGGCTAAAATGGCAACAATGTTGATAGGCCCTAGGAGACAGATTTTTCGGTGCTGAAAAACATTGTACTACATGTCCAGTCTATGTGTTTTCCGGTTAGTGTCAGTGTACATAGGCAGGCCCCTATAAATCAAAACAGCTGATCGACAGTGTGCCCTTATTTTTTAATTATTATACGGTAATATTTGATTTCAATTTTATGAAATATACAATATTCGTTGTTTTCTAACTTGACATTTATTTGAATTGAAACATATTCCATAAAGATGAAAAACATATTGTATATTTGTATATATACATTGAAATATTCATATTGAAATTGAACAGCTGGCATACAATTTGCAGATTTGGACATTTATGTTTAAAGTTCATTTAATTTGAATTTAGAAAGTATATTTTGCGTTTTGATGCATATAGTGTTGTTAGTAATTAAGTTCCATACAATCGAATTTATTTTGCTTCAATTTATCAAAATGGCATATTTATTCAATAGCCGTATTTACAAGCTAAGCGATAGATATATCGATTAGCTGTTACATGGGCTATCGATATATTTGCATATTAATTCTCATCTCTCATAAAAGTACCCAGTTAATTAATGGCAATATTTCGACGCCTTCGGTTGGAATAGCGGCTGGACGGGTAAATATAAAAAACACGTGCTCAGTTTTAAACAGGTTCCGTCTGCGTCCAACGCATCAATTCCGCTGACCATTGAATCAATGCGCTTAAACTAATCCGTATACTCGAATAGATTATTCTGTATGTGCTGATGCTACACAACGTAATATCCTTCCAGTCTGTCTGACCCTTTATTCGTCTGTCTGTCGTTTTGTCTGCCTGTCTAGCGTTCCCAGCTGCAAAGCTCGCTTCGGGTCCATGTGCAATTTCAATGTCTTTGATTTTTTTATATGTTTTGTGTCTATCCGCGTAACTCTATTAATGAAACAGAAAGATTAAAATAAATTCAATTAAATAAATGCCTATATATTTGAAGATTTCAATAATTTTTTAAAATTTCTATTTCAAAACAGTTCTATTTCATTTAAAAATTGCCTGGGTTCGTAAGCGCATTTGGTATTCGACTTGACTGCGCTATTTTGCCGTACAAATTTTTGTTTATCTTTAATAATTTATTGATTTATTTATTTTGTTTTCTAAGGCCGTTTGCAATGTTTAAAAACAATTTTTATTGATTACTTTAATACAATTCTATCTTTATGGTTTTAGGAACGTTTTGATTGTCAATTGCAATTGAATTGATTTGAACATAAATTGAGGCGGCTTGACAACAGTTGCAATCAGCCCAAAGGAGACGATTAGCACACACAAACATAAACACTTATATACGTCTATATATGTGTGCATAGTGCATATACACATACATATATGTATATGCGTATATAGCACAGATAGAAATAAAGACGTTTATATAGGCACTTAAAGCGGTTATTGCTTTCGTCTATTAATTTACAATTGTTTCTTGTTGTTGTTGCTGTTTCTGTGCTGACATCGATTAACACTAAGGTAAACGCTCGCATGGCGAACAACAACGCAGCCGCCGACGTTGACGGCGCCAATCAGAAGCCAAAAGCTAATGGCTTAATAGGCAGCGGCGATGCATGTGCATCAACAACAACAACAACAACAGCATCAGCATCATCAGCAGCAGCAACAACAACAACAACTGCGACAGAGGCCGAGGCAGAGGAACTACTTCAGGACGGACTGAGCTGCAGTGAACTATTTAAAAATGGTGAAGGTCTCACCTACAAGTAAGTCTGCTTCACCCCCCCCCTGTGCTTCTCACCAATACACTCATGCATCTAGGTTACATGCTGTATGTGTGTATCTCTTCTATATATGTATGTACATATTTTTGAATCTATGCCCTAATCATATGCTCATGTTACACTCCGCACGCTGCATTTAGTGATTTTCTCATATTACCGGGCTACATAGACTTCGCCGCCGAGTCGGTCGATCTCAGCTCTCCACTGACGAAGGGCATCACACTCTGTGCCCCGTTAGTTAGCTCGCCCATGGACACGGTAACGGAATCTGATATGGCCATAGCCATGGCGGTAAGTGTTTAATAACAGTTCTAACTTAAATGTATACACACACACACACACACATACACACACATTAATAAACAAGGCTGCAAATCGGTGCATTTTATTCCCACGTCAGCTTTTTGCCTT